AATTGCTGGAGTACAAAAAGAAAATCCTCGCTAATTGTACATCATTAGTTATGATATGCCATCCCTCCCTGGAACCTATATGGAAAATCCTCAAACAGTTCACAACCCATACTAGAAGAAGACCCAGTTCATAAAGAGATTGTCCCAGAACCACCCATCCTAGCCTTTAAACAAACACTGAACCTTCCCAATCTCATAACCAGAAGCAAACTTCCTATGGCCCAAAACACATCAAATGGATCCAGACCATGCTGGGACAAGACATGTAAGATCTGCCAATGTATCTATACCACTCCCACAAAAACTATACCCCACAATAAAACCATCACCATTCCTGGATCTTACAGCTGCACCTCCAGAAATGTAATATATCTCACTGAGTGCACTAAATGTCCTGATGGAAAATATGTAGGAGAAACCAAACAACAAGTGTGTACCCAAATGGATGGACACCAAAGATCTATCAAAGAGAGAAATACCCAATTACCTGTGGGCGCACACTTCTCACAAGACAACCACTCTCTCACCGATCTTTCTGTTTAAATCGTCAAAGGGAATTTACAAAACACCTTTCATAGATGAGCTTATGAACTTCACTTCATTAGACCATATGGTACATTATAACCTGCCTGCCATCTGATAAGCCCAGGTAACTTATCTACATTTTACCAGTTACATTCTATCACCAGGTCTACATTCCCCACTTTTCCTCCCCCACCTACTTGTTTCATACCTATTGTCTCCCATGGCCTATGATCCTCACTGCCATGCATTTGCATTTTCACAGACCTGCATTTTGCAGATTGGCTTCTTTTCCACCCAGGAGAATGCAAAATAACAGCAGACTCTCCCTATGCCTGCAGAAGGGTGTCTGTGCCTGAAAACTTGCAGTTCATAAATTTTCCAACTATTTTGTTGGTCTAATAAAAGATATCACATTTGCCCAAATAACTGTCTGCTTATGTCCTTAGACCAAAATGGCTACAACCAACACCACCGATAAGATTTTGGACAAGCACAGATGGTCAGTACCTCACTTTCATAATTCATTCAGAAGTGGGTACTTCTAGCAGCAGAGCTATACTCTTGTCATTAATTCAATAATGACTCGTATCTCCTACTGAAGTGCCATCTCTGCTTCCTGCTCTGGAGGTCTCTATTTCTTCTTTTGAGGTCTCCACCAAAGGGCTATTGTTATGTGATTAAGTGAGACTGAAATACAGGTGGCAGCTTTAGTTAATGATTTAACTTTTATTAAAAAGTAAGTAACATTCATAATGAGTTAAAGATCACTACTACTTGTAAAGTAAAAAAAAAAATAAGCCAATTTGGGAGAACTCTTCAAATATATATATATATTTGCCACTCCTTGATGTCATTGGCACAGATGTCAGCTCTTCCTAGTGAAGAGAGAAGGTAATAGCTTTGCCCTGTAAAGATCTGAGGCTGACCTAGGGAATTCTGGAAAGTAGTACAAGTGCTTCCCCAAAAAAGCACTTCCTTGGGATTAGGATGTAAGCACCCCTGTCTCTTCTCAGAAAATCCTGTAATGAGGATGTTAGGGACAAGTACTTCACCCCAAGCTCAAAGCATCATTTAGCTTGGAGACTGGATAGGAACAAGCACTTCTATCCCAAGAAATTCCATAGCCAGGGGTTTGCGGCAAGCAGTCGTTTAGTATCTTAAAGTTGGAGTGGGTTTGAGTTACAAGGCCACTATCCAGCCTCCTCCCCACAAATTCTTTTCCCTTTGGGAAGTATTCCTGTTTACACAAACTGT